CGAATCTCGGTTCTTTTGTGTTTTTTAATTTCTGCGACCCAGTCCTGGTCGATTCCTTCTAAACTAAATATAGTACTACGAATCAGGGCACGAAAATGTCCTGGTTTTAGCAACACAATATCTGAATTGTCTTCTTTTCCTGCATTGTGTCTCTTTTGGCGAGATAGTCCGTCAGCTTTGCCGTTCGATTTACCGGGTTTGTGATGCAACGAGTATTGATATTCAGCCAACTCGGTTACCCATCGGGCCTGTCGTCGATTGAGCTTCTGTGGCTTCCGGAAGTATTCTAGGTTCTTGTGATCTGTCCATATTTCAAACGGATGTATGGCGCCCATGAGATACTGACGCCACTCATCAAGGCTAGTCATGATCGCGAGAAGTTTCTTATCGTAAATCTCGTAATTTCTTTCGGCTGCTGTCATAGCTTTGGATAGATAGGCGACGGGTTTCCATTTGCCATCTTGCTTCTGGGCTAACTCAGCTCCTACGGCAAAGTCCGAGGCGTCGCATTCTACGCGATAGGGGTCGTCATCATTGGGTATGGCCAATACTGGTGCGGAACAGAGTGCATTTTTCAGGCTTGTGAACGCTACTTCTTGTTCGGTAGTCCATTTGAAGGTAGCATTTCCTGTTAATGAACTAAGTGGCTTTGCTATCTTGCCGTAATCTCGGATAAATCTTCGGTAGAAGTTGGTGAATCCGAGGAATGCTTGGATGTCTCGTTTGCACTCGGGCCGAGGCCAATTGACAATTCCTTCTATCTTGACTGGGTCCATGCGGACAACTCCTTTTCCTACTATCATTCCGAGGTATTCTATTTCTTCTTTCTCGAACTCGCACTTTTCTGGTTTCAGATAAAGTTTGTGTTCTCTCAGGATTTGAAGAACTTGCCGCGTGATCCGACGATGTTCTTTTAAATCTTGAGTGAAGATCATGATATCATCTAGATAGACTACCACGTGTCCTTGACTGATGAGATCTCGAAATATATCATTCATCATGGTTTGAAATGTAGCCGGAGAATTGGTAAGGCCGAAGAACATGACGAGGGGTTCGAATAGTCCTCGATTCGTTAGGAACGCCGCCTTCTCTTCGTCTCCTTCTTTGATGCGAATGTTGTTGTATCCCCATCGAACGTCTAACTTCGTAAAGTACCGTGCCTGCTTTAGCTTGTCCACTAGTTCTTGTATCAAAGGAAGT